TTGGTTGGATGAACTGATGGTCAGTTGGTGAATGGTTGGACAAACAGGTGCAGTGATTGTTATTGGTCTCATGTCTCTTGGTTTCCTGTCCTCTGTCTCCTCCCTCAGGGTCCTCTCTGAACCAATCATCTGAACTGATTGTTGGTTGGTTGATTGGTTGGTTGGTTGGATGCATGGATTGTGAACAGTTGGTTGGTTGGATGAACAGATGGTTGGTTGGATGTATACATGGATAAACAGGTGCAGTGATTGTTATTGGTCTCATGTCTCTTGGTTTCCTGTCCTCTCTGTCTCCTCCCTCAGGGTCCTCTCTGAACCAATCATCTGAACTGATTGTTGGTTGGTTGATTGGTTGGTTGGTTGGATGGTTGGATGCATGGATGGTGAACAGTTGGTTGGTTGGATGAACAGATGGTTGGTTGGATGTATACATGGATAAACAGGTGCAGTGATTGTTATTGGTCTCATGTCTCTTGGTTTCCTGTCCTCTCTGTCTCCTCCCTCAGGGTCCTCTCTGAACCAGTCATCTGAACTGATTGTTGCTTGGTTGGATGGTTGGATGGTGAACAGTTGGTTGGTTGGATGAACAGATGGTTGGTTGGATGTATACATGGATAAACAGGTGCAGTGATTGTTATTGGTCTCATGTCTCTTGGTTTCCTGTCCTCTCTGTCTCCTCCCTCAGGGTCCTCTCTGAACCAGTCATCTGAACTGATTGTTGCTTGGTTGGATGGTTGGATGGTGAACAGTTGGTTGGTTGGATGAACAGATGGTTGGTTGGATGCATACATGGATGAACAGGTGCAGTGATTATAATTGGTCTCATGTCTCTTGGTTTCCTGTCCTCTCTGTCTCCTCCCTCAGGGTCCTCTCTGAACCAATCATCTGACCTGTTCTGTAACGAGTCCAACTCTTCGTCCTCCTGTTCCCTGAGTGAGGATGAGGAGCAGGGCGGGAATCCATATAAAACCCTGGAGATGTTCTTCATCGCTCTGGTCACCGGCTCTCTGAGTTTTGTGACGGTCACAGGGAACATTCTGGTCATGCTGTCYATCAAAGTCAACCGACACCTGCAGACCGTCAACAACTACTTCCTGTTCTCCTTGGCGTGTGCCGACCTGATCATCGGCGCGTTCAGCATGAACCTCTACACGGTCTACATCATCGTGGGGTACTGGCCTCTGGGCCCGGTGGTCTGTGACCTGTGGCTGGCCCTGGACTAYGTGGTCTCCAATGCCTCCGTCATGAACTTACTGATCATCAGCTTCGATCGCTACTTCTGCGTCACCAAACCCCTGACCTACCCCACCAGACGGACCACCAAGATGGCCGGTCTGATGATCGCTGCGGCGTGGATCCTCTCGTTCATCCTGTGGGCGCCCGCCATCTTGTTCTGGCAGTTCATCGTTGGCCAGCGGACCGTTCCACCTGGAGAGTGTTACATTCAGGTACAGTTTGTCTCACTTTATTTTTAGATGATTAATGGTCTGGTTTGGGGTGACCCAGAACCAGAACTCACCTGGAAGAAATGAGAACGTGGTGCTGAGAGGGTCTCAGGAGGTCTCTGAGACGTTGAGAAGAAGAAGAGTCAGGTTGATCTGGTCAGGTGGTCGTCATCACAACAAGGCTGAAGCTCAGGGTCAGTTTGACTTCCTCTGTGGTAGCTGTCCTCTACATGAACATCTTCACTTCCTCTTTTCTTTTATTTTCAAACTTTATTCATTTCTTTAAAAAACAAATGTACAATAAAAAAGAAAATACAAATAAAATGAAATGAAGGGAAGCAGAGAGAAGAAAAAAATCTTATATCTGTCCCCTTTTTCCTCAAATAAATTTCAAACA